CGACTAGCAGACCGATTACTACGCGCTGGTGCTGACAAGGAGGCAGTAACAGCAGCGGGTGAAACCGCACTGCATTTGGCTGCACAGAGTGGCAATGTTTCGGTTGCAATTTTACTACTTAGACGGAGACGGCCCAAACCTGGGGTCCTTTTGTGGGCCCTTTGTTTTTTGTGGAGCTCTTCCTCGCCACTTGTGTTTGGAAGCTTCTACTATTCTGCAAAAGCTCTGCAAAAGTCCATTTTGCCGCAGTATCATTCATGCTTAGAGCTTTTGCGGCACTATGATATGTTTATAACGGCCCGCAAGTTTTTGATTTTTTATTGTCTTTGTACATTCACCGGAAGGCTACAAAGTGCAGTTTCCATTGGAGTGCGTCGTAGAAACCACAGCTGGGCCATTGCTTGTGTTTCGGTCCCTGAACCTTTGGGATGCTCAAAGCTGATCAAAAAGCAATGACAATATACAGACTTTAGGTCATAGCATGTCATAGCATGTCATAGCCATGGCACAAGACACCCCAAACCATGGGATCAGTGAACATCCCAGCTTACATGGTTCTATAAGGCCCTGAGTGTGAACACCCAGCGCCTTGGGGCTTTGCAGCTCATCCAAACACCGAAGTGTGCCTTCAAACCTGACCACCTTTGATGTTTCAGTTTGACTGCAATGTCGGGAATCAGGATGCTTCAGGCGTTTAAACAAGACGAGGCCATGGTGGTAAGACACCGAGGATTCATATGATATATAACAACTTTTCCTCACCTCGGTGCATGATCACTTCCAGCTCCACCTTCGCATGGACTTTAGGATGTTTCATTGTTTGGAGATACCAGCAGTTGTTCCTGATAATCAAGGGTAGGTGATCCATCGATCATGACAAGGGCGATGTACACAGAGGCAGACTGCATTTGCTGTACTTTACCCTTCCTTGAAGGGTAGGTGATCACCACTAGGGTATAAACTGCATTGATTGTACCTAACGTATTTTTGAAGGCTTGAACTACGCTTGACATTGCTTTGACATTGCTCAGTAGCCATGGTTTTACCTCGAACGTGTCGTTTCTTTTGCCATTCAACTCATTCGACCAAGGCCAAAAGGCAATGCATGCGTCTGGCACTTGGATGAGCTCGTCGGACGATTTCTTTGGACGGATCGAGAGGACATTTCCAGCTCGGATCGGTTGCTGGAACATGCTGTATTCTCTTGGCGATTTGTTATTGGTGAGTTTCACAGATCACCAATACAAATAGAGTTTACAGTTTAAAGGTTCAATCCTAAGCCGTGGATCCATGTATCGCAGTGACAGAATCTTGGATTGGGGGCAGGCGGAGAAGCAACACTCAGAACTTCTACCCTTCCACCTGGTTACATGAGGTTGTTCTCTAGCAGTTGATCTCTAGGACTTGATGCAGACGGATCCAAAGCCAATTCACGCGAACCCTGTGCGATATGAAAGCCCTAAATACATCCGCCCATGGTTTTTGATGGATTTAATCGATGAAGTGGTCGCCCAGGTTGCCTCTGGACCATGGGTTCGATACTTCGAAACCCTTGTTTGCAAGGGTTCTGCATGTTCTACCAATCAATCTACCCATGGGTTCGACAGTAATTAGTTGGGTTTGATAGTTTGGTTTCGTGGGTAGAAACATTGAGAAGGACATGTACCACGGGTCACTTCAGTCTCTTCATCCTGAAGGTTTCTGGTCCTTTCGTTCGCCGTGTGGGAACCCCTCCGCCCGTCGGGCACACGTGCCGGATGCGCGTGTGACGCGCTCAGTTGCTGAACAGCCATTCGGCTTGGCACTTCTTGACGGGTTTGGAGTCGGAGCACCTTGGCAAAATGACTAAATGCTGAACCGTGAGATGGGTTGGACTGCAGTTTTAAATGGAGAGGAGAGCCCAACGTGTGAATGTACAAGAAAGGAGGCAAGTGAAATGTTACATGATGTTACGGTGTGCTGAGGGATACCTTGAACCTGATAGTTCCACAATTTTTCCACGGCCCAGAAGGTTATGGGTTTCCTGTTGCTTGGAAAAATGGTGGGCAAATTGTTCAACCAATCATAGGGTGGCTTATCCCAGTCTGGAAATCCTTGATTTGTGGAATCCGTTCACCAGATGGTCGGCGACTGAGTCTCCAATCAGGTCATAATAAACCTCTTCAGGTTGATTCTTCCCTGGTTTTGTGGATCGGTTGATTTGTATGTTCCGGAAGTGGGTGAATCCCCCCAAGACTGGCAAATAGTTATGTTTACTTTTCTTCCCCAGGTTTCTGGGATCTGCCAATCCAAGCTACTTCGGTGCATCAGGAGCCATTTTGGGGTGCTTTTCATGATGGTCATGAGGCTTTGAGGCTCTCTCTGTGGATCTGAGTGCCTTCAATTTCACCCCGCGGCTCATGAAAAGAAGAGCCGGACTTTGCGTATTTCATGTGTCATGTCCCTTGAAGAAGTCAACCCACCAAGCCTTTCGAATTGTCAATGCTGTATTTTTTCTCGGGGGGTGGGGAGAAATACTTTGTATGCTGAAGTTTTAGTGTCCAGCGAAGATAACAGCTATTTTACTTGATATGGTCTGTCGAGTTTTACATGGATATCACTGATATCACATACATTATTTCCATTTGAGCTGGCCAGACAACTCAACTCGCCTAGAAACATCAAACATACTTGAGTGCTACATGTCAGGTGTATGATGTTTCCAAAGTGGAGTAGTTTGCTTTTGTTCCGAGTCATGAAGACTTCAAAACACATAGGACACTGGATTTTGCAGCAAAGCGCTTCTCTACAGCTGCCCAGAGATTTTGGACACGGAAACCTCCAGGGTTGCCCAGTCAATTGACTCCTGATAGGGAAATTCCTGACGGATCAGCTGCACCCAGACGACCTCCCCAGCAGCTGCCCCAAGCGGCTCAGTCCGGAGCTCTATGGAGATCAGGGCGCTTGCATCCACGCCAAGTGGGGATGACCCAGCAGTGTGTACCGCGGTTCGGGGTGGTGTGAGTGTTTCCGGGGCAAACAGATGAAGATTCTAGACGCTCGACTAAATACAGCTCCCGATTAACTCCCACTGAATTTGATAGAACGACCTCTTCATATGGAAAGGGATTGTTAATCCAGATGAGTCTACAGTATATGCAGTGGCTGGGATGAGGATAACTTTTTGGGAGTTGGGGAACTGGAGAAGATGGGGAAAGGCAATTGGGAGTCATACTGAATCCTCGGGAAGATGCGAAGACCGCATGCCCTGCCCAACAACGTTAACTCGGACCACCTTCAAACTGTCTGGTGTTTGCAAGTCTTGACGAAACGGCTTTTATCGAAACAGGCTGCTTCACAGTTAATTAATGAGTAATTAGCTAGGTTAGGTGGGGTTGCTTGACTGTTTGGGCGAATCTGGTAGCTCGTTCGACTGTACTTTTGAAATACTCTTTTTGGCCTTCACTTGTACGCGGACTGCCTGAACCCTCGTCTCCACATGCTTGGGTTTTGACTGCTGATAAAGCACCAGCCGGGGCCACTTTGTCTCTTCAAGCGACCACCTCCGCCTCATCATCCTAAACAACCTTTTTGAGGAAGCATGTAGAAACCCATTTGGGTGTTCATTAAGATAGGAGACCTCCCAAAGACCCTGGAAGAAGGAGAAATTGATCCACACTATGACATTTCACTGTGTCTCATGCGCCAGGACATATGCCTTGGCCTTCCTGTTGCAGCGCTTTGATGATCACAAGCTGATGATTGAGCTTGGCCCAGCGTCCCAGAGACTGACTTTTTGGTTCAGGGGACCGGGTCGTCTGTGGGAGGGTCGCGTCGGCTGCGAGGCCCCTGTGCATGAGTTGAATCCAGGGGGATCGAGGTGTGCAGGTTGATGGTCGTCATAAAAGCTCTAGGCCGTTTACTTAGCTTGCCACTCATCGTGCATGTGCTAAACAATGCATGAGAACTCTTCGCACCAACTATCTAGCATTCAATTTATGAACTACAGTACCAACTACCACTGGTGCCTTTCAGATCTTTTCAGTGATGATGCAGTTTCTACGGCTTGCCTGCGAGCCCGGCCGATCTCCCAGGCTTGATGGAACGCTTGCTGGAAGCGAAGGAGAGAGCTGCATTTCGGGCGTTTCGATGGGCGTTTGGAATCGAAGCATGATTCGTTTGTGGATGGAGGCGTTTTAGAGATCCATAGACCTTGCAAAGGGACTCCTTTAAAGCCTTTGTTGGTTTCATGTGTGGGTCAAGATGTGCCATTCTGAAGACAAGTTGGGAAACTCTTGGAGGGCAGAGCCATTTAGTGGACGATCTCTGCTGCACATGTCGAGATCTACGTTTGCTTGTTTATACAGTAGATCAGGTAGTGCCAGTGTTGGAAACCATTGACTTTATTGGAAACATGTGCACGTTCCACTTCCATGGTAGATTTTTGGGGTACCTGTGCAGGCACCCATCATATATGGGAAAAGGTTTGTGTGTCCCTTGTATCCACACCTGTTCAACAATTTGCAAATAAAGTTGTTGTTTTTTGTCATGGCCGTGGATACCCCTCTTGGTATTGGTTTCCCTCGTTACAGCCACATGCACACGTCATCTGCAAGAGACAATCCTCTTGCAGGCACAGATCAAAGAAGAGATGCAAACACGCTTTGAACAGCTGCTTGGCTTCAATTTACACCTTGAGATGTCCAGAATGCAGAAGTAAGTATGATTTTTGCTCCCTTTCTTACTGGCAATAGCTCGGCACATCGGGACTTCAACGGACCTCAAGGTAAAAAGTTATTCACATAGAAACATGTGAACATGGACACGTCAGACATGTGTCTCACCCATATCCCCACAAAACAAATCATAGGAAACAAAAAGAGACAAACAAGTGGACAGCAACAACAGCAAGATCATGCAGAATCCATTTCCCTTTCAGAAGCTGTTGTTTTCATTTGGCGCCTCTTGGTGCTTCGAAGCCGCCTCTGGAAACCGCTTCAGCGAGGCCCGACCTGCCGGACCTCCGTTTGCCTTGGGTGCGGAGCGCCAGTGGACGTGGTCGGGTCGGGGAGGCACGCGGCTCGAACCAGGCAGGTTGGCTATATATTTGTTGAACTAATTAGGGGACAAACACATGGTGAAAACATCTTGGCTAGTCCTAGCAAGGTGGGATTGGTTGGCGCAATCCTTGGACTTAGGTTGCTGGGTGAAGATGGTCATACTTGTTGAATTGTTTGGGTGCAAACTTCCAGGCAGTTCCTCGTTTTCAGAGTTTTTTTTTTGCGTGCAGCACTTCTGTATAGTTCATACATGTTCGTTCACTTCCATTCCGACGACCATTCTATTCTGACACTTTTTCAGTCAGTCTCTCAGGGAGACCGTCTACTCTTGACAGTCCGTGCTGGCGTACTCAACGTGACCCTTAGTCCCTTATTTGGTTGGTGCAAGCCGGACCCAGCACTGCACTTGGTGAAGAAAGCATCAAAGGGAACTCATCGGATTTATTCAGCAAGTTGCCTTCCAACACATCATCTCAGGTTGTTCGTTCTGTCCCCACACTCAGACTCTCTCTCTCTCTCCCCCTCTGTCTCTCTCGCGTGCGCGGGCGGACCAATTAGTCTCTATCTCGTCCGAGATCCACTGCATCATCAGTCTGGTGACCTTGTCAGGCCTCGGTGTTGCTGGGCGGAGCGCGCGCGGGTCGGAGGGTGGCGAGCAGGTCGTCGTCGTCGTCGGTAGTGGCGAGCAGGGAGGATTCCATCCCATCCATCGCCGAGGGATCAGAAGCAGGGAGGGAGAGCCAAACATCAACCACTGAAGGATTCCACAACCACACTTAGCAGCCCGGTAATGAAGGGTAGAGGGGCCTGTGCAATGGCCCAGGTATCTGTCACCCATCTGTACATGTGGCATTTAGGTATCGCAGTGTCTCCAAATAGCTTGCGAGCGACGTGTGGTGAAGTTGGTCTTTTCCAAGGGTGACTGTGCAAGCCCGGGGTAGTCCAAGGTCAAAACCTGGGTTTGAGAAAAAATTACGTCTTTATTGCTGTTTTGAATGGAGGACATCCTGCACCACATAGAACACAATTAAAAAATGCCTACAATACAAAAATAGTTGTGCGTGTATGTTACTTACGAACTCTTTGCAGAAAAGTTTCGCTAGAATCAACGGGAAAGAAGCACTGGTCTTCCTGTGTCAAGGAATGATCTTCGGTCTTCGCCTGCAAAAGACGTCGCAAGACAACAAGTCAATCCATGCAATGTTAAGGTATATTTTGTGTCAGCCATGCGCATCCCAGCAACAGGCCCAAAGCTCTTCAACGGCGACTGAGCTGCTTTTGGTTGGACATTCGGCCAGGGTTCTTCGGGTTTAGGGTTTCTTCGGGGTGCAACGAGAACAACTTGTGGCATGCCCAGGGAACCAGCATCTAGCATGGGGTTCCCAGCATCCCGCCATGGTCGGATCCGGAAGGGACAGGTCCGAAAGCCCCGATGACGTCGGATGCAAGAAGCACCGGGTACCTTTGCAGCCGGAGGAAGGCAGACCATGACCTGTGAGTCGTACCTCCGGTCGCACCCCCGACCGTCCCAACGAGTTTCCGTACGACTGAAGCCCTAGTAGATAGCTATAGGGGAATAGGGGAGGCGAAAAACGTCTTTGGATCCGAGGGCCGTTTTGGTGTCTGACGACTTTCTATTCGGCCTAGACTTGGGTGATCTTGGATGTGTTGAACCTATATGTCCCTGGCGTGGATGAAGGTTCTTTGCAGCTTTGCGCAGTTTTGCGTGTTTTATTGGTGGATGTCGATTCCCCGGTGTCTCAGCATAGTGATGGATTGTCACGCTCCCCGATAGGCTCCCCAAGCTTCACCAATTAACACAGGTTGATCGGTCTACCCCAAGCTTAGTTGGTTTTATTTAAATTTAGACACTCCAGCTGTTGGACATTTTGATGGGCATGCGGGAAGTTGGATCGGAATATTGAAACTATCAATCATAGTCATAGATGGACAGCACTGTCAGGCCTCCTTTTCTAGTGTACTTTGGAGATTCCCTTGCACTGTGCCGTTGGCGGATCTGCAGAAAAAAACATCATCACTGAGGGAGAACCCAAATGAGTTTGTTGTAGAGAGAGAGAGAGAGTACTTGGGTCATCTGAAGATGCTGACGATCCTTTTGAAGTACTTGGATCATCTCGAGGGCGGTGTTTCAGGTGATTTCTCCTTTTGAAGTCTTGATCAGGAAGACCAGATCTTCACCAGGAAGCTGAGAATCGTAGATGCACTGGATTCTTCAAGACTCGGGACCAATTGCTGACCCTTTGTCCCCCAAACACCCCCAACAAAGACATGTGGAGCCCACCAGGATTTTGATATTTTAGGTGTAGGTTCTACCTCCCAACCATCACATCGCAGGCTCATCAATGCGAAGCAAAACAAAAATGCCACGGTCTTCAGGGTTGTGACTCAATCTGCCCATCAGCAGTAAAATTGTTTGTAGGTTTCTGTTGAAAGCCATGGCCGAGGTCTATAATAGGCACTATAGAGAGGCTACAAAGCTTGGCTCCTTTCAACATGTTAAGTTCTTCCATATTGGGCATTGGATCTATCCACAGCCGCAAGCAACAGAGTGGTATGATTTCGGGTTTCCTATAAATATACCGTTCTGGCACCCCAAAAACCATGCAGACTGCCTAGTGTGTGTCGGCACCCAGTGGTTCCCCACCCAAAAAGGCCGAAAAATCCCAGGGTTCTCAAAAGCTGAGTGCCTGCCTCAGTGCCTCCGTCCTCAGGTGCCAAGGGCAAAGAGTTCGAAGAACTCATCGCTGGTGCCTTGGACTTTGCCAACGACTTGCAATTCGAAGGCCCGGGCACCCGATGGCGCCTGACCGCGCTCCAACCTTCGATGCCTTGGCCGGCTGAGAGGTGGAAGCCTAGAGATGCGTAACCTCGGATCTTGGGGCTCCTGGTAGTACGGCGATTTGGGAAGATGTGGGGGGTCAAAGAAGGCCTCCAAGGCTAATTACTTGAGAGGAATTGCGCTCAGCATACGCTCAGCTTAGGGCAAAGACGTGGAAACAAATCGTGTGGAATCTCTTCAATCAGCTCCAGAAAGTTACATTTATATGTTTCTTCCTGTTCAATCTTGCAGTGTGAGGATATCACCCACACAGCATGTCGTGGAACCGCATGAATCTACAGAATCAAACAATACTCGATATGCTTTCGAACTCTCCCATAGTTGGGCACGGTTTTGAACAGTTTCATCATCATCGTCATCGTCATCGTCATCGTCATCGTCATCATCATCATCATCATCATCCTCATCATCATCATCATCACCATCGGATAGATGACGGAGGTTTTGCTTCCAGGATATATGAGTTTCAGATTTGTCACGTTGACATCCGTTTACAATTGTTTGTTTCAACCTTTAACCCAATTAAACGATATTATATTAACGGTTCGTCGTTTGTCACATGAGATTTAAGAGTCGAATCTTCGAAAGGAATAACTGTATGACTCAATATAACACATGTTTTGTCGCCCTGAAGCTGAATGAGGTCGGATGAAGATCCAACGTGGAATGAGTGGTCTGGCCCGGGGGCTCAGTGTATACTGATGGGAGAGTGGATCCAGAAAAAGATGGGGGCACATACTGAACAGGAGACTAAAGCAAGGTGCAGAGTTTGGATCAGCTCAGCCTTAGAGGTAGAAAGCATAGAAGACTCACACAAGCCGCGTTTCAGGGATTCAGGGGCAGGGATTGAGCCAAAAAGGAAGGAATCTGGGCCCCCAAGCTGCCTAGAGTCCTAGAGTTCTGTACTCAGTTTCACAGGATGGTCACAAAAGTAGATTGGGTCGCAACGCCTTTCTTGCTTTATACAGCCTTGTGTTGAGAGAGGATGGATCCAAACCAAGTGCAACACCTCCCTTACCGATCTGTTTTCCGGGTTGACCGGCCGGTCTTCTCTCGCGTTTGTCGCTATTTTTTCGCGTGGTCAGGTCCTTGATCTGGAATGCCAACAGGCGAAGCGAACCAGAGAAGCGACTGGGAGTTCGCGAGGGTGTCCAAAGCCTGGTGATGGTGGATAAATTTGATGAACCGATGATCCTCCGTCTAGAAATAGGATCGAAAGGTGACGCAGATTGATGGTTGCAAGGGCACTATTTGTGGCCTTTTTTATGTTAGCATTCTTCGAAAGAAACATCTCAAGTTCTCACTGGTTCATCCTAAAGTGGATGTCTAGGGACTTTCATGAACGTTCAAGGTAATGAAAAAACATGTGTTTAACGGCCCCACAATTTGTTGCAGTCAATGGACGGCTTTTCATGCGTCTTAGGTTTCGCCGGCAAAACACAATTGTCCATTACAGTGGTTTTGGTAGTATAGACGAGGTTGTTGTAGATGGTGCTTAGATTCGTACAAGACTCAGTAGATTGGTGCAGAATATAAACGGTATAGCTGGGTGTTGTTTCCTTTATTTGTCAGATCATGTGAGTGTTGTAGTAGGGCCTTTAACGGTTTCAGTGGTTCCCAAAGGTCCAGGTTTGGATTCATTTTTTTCCTCAAGCTACCTGACAGAAAGGGAATCAGATGAGCTGCTAATTAGTTGAGCAGTTGGACAATCCTTTAAGCGAGTTGATGTGGGTCCCCAAAGATGTAGTTTTTTGGGCAGCAAGAAAGGACAATTGCACCCATCGAGGGTACCATTTGGCGGGCCAACACCATCCCATTCCCTAGACCATCCATGTATGGAATAGTGTGGAATAGTTACGCCACCATGAATGATTCATTTGGATGGGGTAAATGTATGTAACTATGTGACTATTCCAGTGAGATGGTCTGAGACATTATAACGTTTTCTATCCTTTCACCGTCGCCGAACCAAGCTGGTGGGCATCCAAAAGAGTGTCAAGTTCCCGAAGAGTTGGACCAACGGCCCCACGCAACGTCCTGGTGGAACGTCCCTCATGGTGGTGACGTGGATGGTGCGGACGTGGATGGGCGCCACCTATTGGAAATAGACCATACCACCTATTTAATACCCATATATGATGGTATATTTGGAACAGGGTGGTCTTCCGAGTCTTCAGTGGCCATGGCATCCACGTTGGCCCATGATCATTTCAGGGAGAGTGTGTGACGCGGAGCGACGGATGTTTGCAGAGAAGCTGAGCCGAATAAACCACCCCCCTTCCACCGCTAAAAAAGAAAGCGCCACGCGCTGTGACCACCGGTCCTTCTGCCACAGGCGTTGGGAGCGGTTGGGACTCTCAGCACTGTGTTGGGGTGAAATGGGCTGAAGGGATATGACTCAACAACCCAACAGACTTCTATATTAGGATAGAAGTGTGATACCCACAATTCCTGCTGTTAAGTCAGTCAGATGATACATCTCATACTGTCTCATACTGCTGTATAAATCATAGAAACTGCAGTTGGTTCTCTTCCAGCCTTGTCTCCGTTCATCTCTTCGAGTTCTCCAGCTGTGTCTCTTCACGTCGTCTCCAGCCGTGTCGCCTCGCCACACGGAACGGCGTGGCATGGAGTCAGTCCCGGAGCGGTGTTGGGTTCTTCGGGTCTGGACGTCTTCGACCTGGAGGCGACACCTGGAGTTTTGGGGGGGTTGGAACGGTTTCATTAAACAACAAAAAAGACACATCACTGGGAACAAATCAAGCATGCAAAGCAGTAAAAAAAAGCCTTGTTTTAGATGTTGCTGCGCTCTGCATGGGAACATCTCCAAGTGGGAGAACTGGAGAATATTCTTCTTGATTCACGAAAGTTCCATAATGTTGTGTGTCTGTCTTTTTGGACATGTTGGGCTGCGGCCACAGACTTCGTTCTCTTGGCTTGAGCAATGGAAATAAACATGGATTTGTTGGGCGTTCAGAAGCTTCCTTGATCCCTTTTCTAAGCACCTTGCAGGTGGTGATCCACCTTTATTCTGTATAGAAAGATTGGCGGTTTCTGGGTTTTGGGATGTTTGGGGGGGGTTTAGAGCCAGAAACTCGGGAGTAGTATACGTCGTGAGCGTTTCTTGATGTGTGAGCCAGAGTGGAAGCATGCAGCCAGAGTGAAGGCGCCAATTCTCTCACAAGGGCATTGCCAAGATGCAGTGAATCCTCCAATCTCCATCCCTTGTCTCATGCGAGTCGTAGCCTGGAGCCGTTTCAGCCTGCTAAGCTCGACCATGTTTGGTAAGTCTATTTGGTTCATGTCCAGTGGGAAACGCCAGGGTAACCTGGTTTTGCACCATACAGGGTAACCTGGCTTAGAATCATTCAGAATCGTCCCCCAGACACTCTCCACATGGGACTGGCATATTGACCGATCAATTATTGGGATGCTTGAAAGTCAGGGTCCATGTATATAGCTCTAAAAAATGAACATTATGTATAAATCCATGTCATGGCTTGAATGCCAGTCCCATTTATACAATTCCATGTATTTGATGCTTCAATATGCCAGTCCCAGACGGCTCGTGTCACTGGGGTCCGCTGTGTCGTCTCCGCGTGTCCTCTAGGAGTCGGACCCGGCAAAACGCTCCGATGCGAAGAACGTCGCACGAAGAAGCCTTGTCACCGGGGGCTTCGCCCTATACTTACATTGGTGGAAACAAGATGATGATTGCATACCATGGGCTACTTAAAGCAAGTACACTTGGGCAGTAGTGGTGATTGTTGTTGCTCTCTTCCAGTCCAAGGCCTCCAAAACGCCTCATGTGTTTTCTCTCTCCGTTCCAGACCCAGACAGACACTCCCGGCCCTACGGATCCACCGACCTGAGAAGATGCTCCTTCAAACTTTTGGATGTCGGCGCCAGGTTAGATGGTTGTCTGTATTTTTTGTATTTGTTGTGGTGGTTGTGGTGGTGTTCCAAACACCTGTTGGGACACCGGAGCTATCCGTGGATCTCTACGTCCTTGCCATACCTCTCGCCCTCGCCATACCTCGCCCTCGCCCTCACGTGGGCCGAAGAAGTGTGCACCCGAGGCCTTGGCACCTTTGAGTACCAAGGCGGTTCAGTTCAACGTGCTCAAGCCAAAGCCGCTTGGGACGGATTTTTTGGCGCGCCGCGTGCGCGTGCGCTCTCGTTCCGGGGGGGGGGTGCGGGAATTCTATACCGGAGTGTGTGTGCGCGTGTGTGTGTGTGTGTGTGTGTCCACCCCTGGACAAAGGGTTTCCTTCGACCACTCCAATCAGGCAGGGGCAGGCAGGGGGCTCACGGGTCTGTTCCTGGCGTGAGCCAACGAAGCTCCAGGTTCAGACTAGGATATCGAAAGAGGACGCTCTTTCGACGTACCTGCAACCCGAACTTTTGACCACGCTGTCTCATTTGCTTTGTTTGATTCCATGGTTCTTCATGCTACCTAACCCCAAACAGGTTTCCTACCGCTGCCTTCAGCCGCCGAAATTCAGCCGCGCTTCTGCAGATGCTAAACATTGTTAAACATTTCAGTTGCGCTGACCTTTTCACCTTACGTTTCCCTCACCTTCCTTCCCAGCGTGGTAACTGAG